CTTTGCCACGCCATGCATGGTGGATCGATCACGCCGCAGAGCTTCGAGTTCTGTACGTGTAGCGGTAGTGGTGTAGTTAGTGGCTGGGTAGGTAGACATTCAATATCGAGTCGCGGGCAGCTTGCGCCGTCAAGAGTACATACTACATAGGGTGTCTTGGACTATATGTGGCGTTGTCCTCGCTGCCGTACATACACCGCCCATCGCCGGCGCCCGCGGATTCTCCCCTCCCGCTCACATTGCCGCTGCTCATTGACATCGACCCCGTCATGTCATGCTATGCCACGCCTTGCCAAGTCAGAGAGAGAAAATCAGTCAGTGTTCTGTTTCGACGTTCAACGAGGAGAAGGTCGTCATCGTAATAATCGTCACTTGCTCTATGCAACTCAGCCGAACATATTTCATACTTTGCCAATCCCTGTCCCCTTCAGTGGTCTCTTCCTTCACGGTCCATATAGCAAGCAGGTAATCCTTCCCCTGGTCTCCCTCGCGCCCGAGTCACGTCGGGTCATGAAGTCTCTTTCATCCGTCCGCACACGCTACAGGTCCACCACTGATTTTCCATCCAGGTACCACATCGTCCACAGGTCCATCCCAAGGGGTTGCTCTGGGCCTTTTCCTTGGCGGCGGCCTCGAAGCGGGCGATGTTATCGGCGGCGCCGAGGCGGGGGGCAAGGACGGAGGGAGGATGCTTTGGACGAGCATTGTACGAGCGGGGGCCGGAGTGAGAAGATGTGGATGTCGCGGTAGTAGGTCTGAAGGAGCGAGGTAGAGAGGTCCTTGCTTGAGATTTCGGTCTGAGATACGAGCTGGCGGAGGGTGGTGGAGGGTGGGAGGTGGAAATGGCCTGCGAGTAGATGGCCGGTCGCTCGGTTTCGCAAGCCTCGCATTGCAGGTAGTTTATGGGGTTGATAAGGGTGCAGACTTCGCAGGTCCAGGTTTCTTCGTCTTGGGGCAGGTCTGACGCTGGATGGTCGAGAAGCGGAGCGGTGTTCAGTTTTGCTTTCGGTTTCGTCTCGGGCTCATATTCTTTGCCGGACGTGTTTGACCGTGCCCGCTGCTGCAGTTGTCGTTCGATCTGAAGTTGTTCCTCCCGCAGAGATCTCGTGTCAACCGGTGGGAAAATGCTGTTGCCCTTCTTGACGCCTCCTGTGGGATTCTCTTGACTGGGGGGGACATATCCCTCACCGAACAGCTGCGCCTCTTCTTCCTGGATCATATCAATGTATGCCTGCATCAACGCCGCCTCATCTTCGTCCGCCTTCTCGGCCTTGGTTGTGGTGACTTTTTGCTTTTTGATCGTCTCTTCCTGCATTATCTTCCGACCCATATCGGGCACGGCGCTGCCACAACCGCGATTGATGCGATTCCGTTTCTCTGCTGCAGCGGCGATGATCTCCCGAGCATTCTGACCTCGCAAGATCCCCTGGCCCCCCACTTTCCCTCCGCTGCCCTGTGAGAGGACGGATACCTGGCGACGTCTCTCCGCTGTTGCACGAGCTTGTCGTTGAAGCTCAGTTCTTGGTATCCGTTGGCCGCCCAACCGACTTCCCTTGCCGAGAAATCCCTCGCCGGTATAGCCTTTGCGGAGGAGGGTTTCGTGCTCATCGCGAAGTTTATCCCACAGGGCATTAAAGGCTTGATCATGCGGACCGTGAACAATATGACATAACTCATGTAGCATGGTATCCACAACACTCTCGAATGGCAAGAACTGGGTTTCATCTCCGGCGTAGCGCAAGCGGAGGTAGATCTTTTCGCCGCGGTTGATATTCAGACCCAACAGACCGTGATCGTCGGGGAAGAATTCGCAAAGTATCCCCACACGCCAATTGCGGACTCGCATGATGGGTTTTACTATAGAGGCAGTCTTCCTGAGGATGTGTAGGGCTTCATTTGCACGAGATTTCGCAGATATATGCTCAAATTGGTCGATCAGCGGGTCGAGTTCTGTTCTGCGTGCGTACGACATCTTGGGGTGGATATTGACGATTGTCGAAGGAATGGGAGATGAACGGAGCTAGAAATTCGGAAGCAGAGAGATGTAAAAAGTAACGCTCGTCAGGCCCGGCCAGAGTCCCCAAGTTGAACACCGCCACCGACACCCTTTGCTCGTCACAACGACCGAGTGAATGTGGACCAGATCGGTGGGCAAACGAGAACAAACGGAATTGAAATGCAGAAATGCAGCACGCTATCAGGTACGCCTCAAGACGCCTCCGGAATATGCCAGAAGAACACTATTTGGGGTTCACGTTGTGAGGAAGAGAAAGGATGGATTCGTAATGTATCTCAGCCTGATGGCCCAGCCGCTCTACACGTGATCCTCCACGTGACCCCATCATGGGGGCGTTCCTCTTCTGTGATTGGTCTACACCCGACTGCACTTCCCCGCGACCGCCGATGTACATGCTCGGTACTTGTTGCTGAAAGCCCTGTACTTCTTCAGCACTGTCAAGCTGTTCCCTCGTCACAGCACGAGCAACCTCACATACAACTTGATGACGGATGAATACAACTGTCTAACCCTAAGATGACGAGTGACGACCAGCAATTCCTAGACCTGGTGAGGACTCCTTAACACCCAGCATCACTTTTGCGTCGGGATCACTGACCCTCCCCTCAGCTTGCCTCCATCCCGCAAGACATGGCCCACTACGGCAGTCGCATAGCGGATTACGTCGACAAGCATGCAAATGCCATTGCCAACGACATCCGCGATGCCATCGACCGGGCAAGCTGGATTCCCGACTCCCTCCGGCCGCTGCGCCAACCAGGCGGGGGAGGGCAGGGCCAATTTTCAGCTCGTCCACCTCCCCCACCACAGGGTATCCTCCAAAAGACCACGGCCTGGGTTTCAAGGAATCGGACCGCGATTGCGATCATTGTGGCATTCGCGGGCACAACTTTATACCTGATCCACCGCAGGAAGAAAGCACACGCGAGAAAGAGACGAGCGAAGAAACTGCCTAATGGCGCTAAGAAGGAGATCGTTATACTCGCTGGCTCGACTTTCCATGACGCCTTGACGAGGTCGCTGGCTCTTGATCTTGAACGCAGAGGCTACGTGGTCTATATTACCGTCTCTTCGACCGAAGAAGATTCCCTCATACAACAAGAAGCAAAAGCCGACCTGCGCCCACTCTGGATTGATTTAACTTCTACGGTTCCTAACCCGGCGCTGGACGTACATCCGAATCTAGAATCCATCCGTGACCTTCTTACGAAGTCGTCTCGGTCTTCATCGCCCAGCAGGAGCTCGCACCGCTCAGGTTCTTCCATGGGGAACATGACATTGGCTGGTCTCATTGTCTTCCCCGGCTGCTCGGGCTACAGCGAAGGGCCACTCGCATTGATCCCTCCCTCAGACATAGTAGATACAATCAACACGCGCCTCGTCTCGCCTCTCTTGACAGTACAACAATTCCTCCCCCTTTTAGCAAACCACAGTCTCGATCCGAAGTCACCTTCGTCAATCATTGTTGCATACCCGTCCATCCCGCATAGTCTTTCCCCGCCACGCCAAATTCCAGAATGTCTCGTCGCATCATCCCTCTCAGCACTTGCAGCCTCACTGAGACGAGAAATCACCGCTGCCAACGCAAATATCACTGTCTCGGAACTAAAATTGGGTAATTTCGACATGGGCTCCGTCACTTCCTGGTCGAGAACGACACCAACTCAAACCACGCTCAACCCGGGCCCTTCATCAGCACTGACACACAGTAGCTCTCACTGGCACTCATCACAGCGCGCCGCTCACCAACGCAAGTCGCTCGGCCAAAGGAGTTTCATCCGCGGCTCCTCGGCGAGGGAGTTCCACAACGCGGTCTTCGACGCGCTCGCCCCGCCGCAAATATACAGACCATTTGGATATAGTTTCCTGGAATTCACCACAAACACAAGACCGAACGTCATCTTTGTCGGCAGTGGTGCCAGGATGTATGATTATGTAGGCAAGTTCATGCCCGGCGGATTGGTGGGGTTGATGATGGGATGGAATCGGAAGAAGACAGCCCCCCGGCCTGAAGAGGGAATATACAAGTCCATGAGATATGATGCGAGTGGTAGTGGGAGTGCAAGCGGAGCTGGGACCCCTGCTGGCGCTGGCAGCGCGTCTGTAGCTGGACACCCGCTTTCAGGCCCAGCTTCAACTTCGGCCTCCACCTCTGCTTCTGCCTCAGGATGGGGATTCCACTCGTTGGGTAGTGAGAGCGGGATATGGGAAAAGGTATGAATAATGACCATACACGATGGGTGCTATTCAATGTGCCGGGGGAAAGGGGTGGATTGGTGATGGTTTCGTTTCATGTCTTCGATCGTGGCACTAGGTTCTCCCCCTTTTGCATGTACGCACGCGAGGACTTCATGATCTATGTATATGTCTGTCATCCTCTATGGGAAGGGAGTGCGCTTCTGAGAGCCAGGAAGAAAGAAATGGTGAGACTTCTTCACTCACTCCTCAATCGGTCATCCATTCCCTTCTCAGATTTAGAATTTTGCATTCCAGTCCAATCACCCAGTTCAACTCGTTTCATTCCATGTAGAAAGGGAAAAGAACTACAACACCAGTCAAAAACGCATGAATGACTCCCGTACTCCTGACCACTGAGTACTTGGGACGCCTAGACTCCTGGGGCCGCCATCATCCTTGTCAATATCAATCCCAACGTCAATATGTTGCAAACGTTCGTACTCTCGTCCGTGTCGCATTCGACATCCCTACCGTCCATATCTCGCTATGCCCACTCCGTTGTTGTGAGGCTGGTTAACACCAAGCAGGTGTCCTATGCCCGTCTCCATTCCGGAAAATTGGGAATGTGTTACGCCCTCGGGGCATTGCCAGAGAATCCTCGTTTCCTCGTTCTGACTCTCTCCCCCATCCTCCTGTTGATACTTTGTGCCGGAGTTGGTGGGAAATGCCTTCAATTACAAATGATTGTTCCGGACAGGGCAGGATTCGAGACACTTACCCAAGACTTTCTTCGGTTCATTCACGCTCAAAGACTACAATCGAGATTCCATTCGTCCAATTCTGCCCAGATGTGTTGACACTCAGTCCGAAGCTGAACAACGTCTTCTTCCTTTCCCAGGATCGAAAGATGATGCTCAACTGCAGACAAAATTATCAGCACGTTCGACTCGGACTGGAAACCCTCCAGAGCCCCCTCGACAGCCAGCCGACAAAACTTCTCGCTTTCTTCAAAACGCCCCGTTTTAGAGTACAGCCATGCCAATCGCTCACATGCAGAGACTCCATAGGTATCACCCTTCTGCTTTCCAGCAGCAGCAACATTGCAGCTGAGTTGCTGCAGGATGAGACTCTCAGCCGCCGAGTAGTCTTCTTCTTCCATTAACACAAAGCTCATTTTATGCAGGAGTCTTCTGTGCATTGGAGTTGGAGGGGAAGGAATGGGTTGCATACCCTCATACAGACGTCGACACAAACGAGATCCCATATCAAGTTGCCCCACTATAAGCAAAAGATCAACTATGCCTAGCTGCATCTCCGTGCGAGTCTCGTCATCATACACAGTTTCCGCGTCATGCATCAAAAGTTCTGCATACCTAGCCGAGAAGGGAGCAAAATGCTGTTGTTCGATAGTGTCCAGTAATAGGGTCGCGAAATTTGCGATGGGGTGCAACATCCAGAGCGTCGCGTACGCCATTGAGGCAAAGAATTTCAAGACTGACTTTCCTACCCACCAGTACTCTCCTCCGTACTGTTAGTGAGCTCCGAAAGTGACGACTTCTTGCATCAGTTGGAATGCTTTTGATTGAAGGATGGCACGAAAGGCAAAGCAGCATTTATATATGACCTGAAACGCACGGGAGTCATCTCTTATAAAAAGCGAAAGCCCTGCCATAACGCCATAGAAGCCCTCATGAAGCTCCATAGTATATTTATACACAGTCGGGACTTGGTCCTAAGACTGACACCATGAATGGTACGTTTGGGCGTATTTCAGTAAGGACTCGACAGTCTGGGTCTCGCGGCGCAGTTGGAGCTGAATCCGCTCCGGTGAAGGTGTGCGCCTGAGTTCCTGAAGATGCTTTCGCTGGATTTTGCTGGAGTCCGGACAAGGTCGATGAGCGAGAATGACTCGTTTCCGCCTTTGCAGGACAGGGCGCCACAGTCTTTGCCGTTCAGCGTCAACGACAAAGGGCCTTGGGACTCTGATCGTGCTTCTGTCAGCGGTTTGATGGCGTCTATTTTCTGCGGTTGCGTGTAATTCTTCCGCAGTTCCCAGTCCCGCAGCCGTTTCTTTTACATTTGGACGCTATCAACGTTAGCCGTAGACCAGGTCAACTGCTTTCCCTGACTTAGGTGGCATCAAAACCATGCTGCTGCTTCATATTCTTTCTAACTTCTTCGAGGCTGAGCTGCCGATGCAGATACAAGTCTTGGATGATTGTTTTGAAGTGCTCCCACACGGTTGGCGGTAGAGCTGGTCTCCTCAGACGTACAGATAATGGAAGCGGTGTCTGCAGTTGGTATGAACTTGGAACAACATCGTCCAGAGGGTGTTGCCGGTCGATGGCGGAGTCCAGAGGTTCAGTGGATGGAGTTGCGGGATGCGCATCTGTAGCTCTGAAGACATCTTCAGAGATGCCAGAGTCAATGTACATGAGGACATCATCCTGAGAGTGCGAAGGCCCGTTCTCAGCCTGATGGTACCAATCGCTTGCAGTAGGTGATGGTAGTTTGTAAACATCCATTGTCAGGGAGATTGACAAACAATGTTGAACATCCCCAAGCCCAGGGGGCATAGTCGATATAAATAAACCAGCAGCGCGCCTCCAACAGAGTCCATTATGTTTGTTAGAACTTTTGCCAGTGTCGTTGCGGTGGAGAGCGAGGCTGCCAGCATGCCCCAATGAGCTGGCACAGTCTTGCATGACACAACACGGTGCCGCCAATTGGCAGCTGTATCCAACGCCACAAGAACTTTTGAAGCTCCAGGGAATCACCACCAATCGTTGACTGGCCTGAATCAGAACAACTTTTGCCGAAGAAAAATCTCCGAAGAGGATGCAACTTCACCTCACCACCAGCAACGAAGGATCAACTACAACTAGATACCACACATGTCCAGCCTCATCTGAAGCGCAGTTCGCACCACCAGACTCAGCCCACCAGCATCGAAAGATGCCAGAATCCCCCGACAGGCTCCAAGTGTGATCGCTTCTCCCCCGGCTTGTCCTCCAACGACCCCTCCCATCTGCTTCCACTGCTCTTCTCCCCATGTTCTTCCTAGCGAAGGGGCATTCCGCCTGCAGCTATTCACTGTGGCCATCCTAATATTCAATCCAGACGAGTCCCATGACTCCAGTCTACTGAAGGAAGAGGCCAAGGCCCCCCAGTGCAATGCGAGGCTATGACTGGCCTTTCGTTACTACGAGTGGATTCCAGTCAGCCGTGCTGTTTCAGGTCCCTCAATTCGGGCTTGGGACAAAGCCGCTTTTGAATTCCCCCCCGATTTCCAGACGCCAGGCTGTCAACTTGGGAATATCTCCAGGCCAGTGATGCAACGCTTCGAGACGGCTCACGACTAGCAATCTCGGCAGGGTTCGAGACATGGTCAGTCCGACATGGCTGGGGTGAAATCTGTGGCGATTGCAGCCCTTCAGATCTTCATATCTTCGGCTTTTCGCATCTACGGAGTGACAATGCATCATTCATATTCCTTCCTTGCCCAGACATTTCATTCCCTTGTGAGACGTGTCACCTGTTGGAGTTGAGGACGAAGGCATAAATACTGGTCGACAACTCAATCGGCCGTCGAAAATTAGTTGTTCATCCCCGACAGAGAGTTTTCCTCGACAAATTCGTGGCTCAGGCATCTGTCACAGTTGGTTTGGTGTGGCTCGAAGCAGGGAATCATGGCATCAAGTCATATGATTTCGCCGTTTGGCGCAAGTTTGACTGTAGGTGGCAAACAACTGCAAGCAATGGTCATGCAGCAGCAGGCACCGATGGCGGCTTTCTTCATCCACAGTTTAGACCATCCCCAGGGCCGAATATTTCATGTTGTCAAACCCGAGGATATCTCGTTCGCTCCGCCGGTGTTGATTAGACGACCTCCTTTACCAGAGCCCAGGCAGATCTCTTTGCAGATGGTGATACCATGTATCTTTTTTGTCCAATACCCCTGTCGGCAGAAATGTCGCAGTCTTGGGATCTGCATACACTATCAGTTTGTGGTCGGCTGTCGAACGTGTCCGGACGGATTGAGGTGTCCGATCTGCGTACAGCAAAATGTCGAACAGGTGAGTATCATCCCTTGCGGCTAATGAGAGATTCAGAGATTGACTAACCGGCTGATGTCTGGCGCAGGCTATTCAGGCAGGCCGCAAGTGTCCGCTCCATCAGAACCCAGCGCAGCCGAGTCCGATAAACAACCGGCCAGAAGACTTTCTGGCCACCGTCGCTCAAAGAGAGGTTTGCGACGAAGTCCTAAGGCGATCATTCACATGTCAATGGGACGATATCCCAGGGCTTCCGAAGAGGCGGCCGGAGCAAGGTGGTTGGGAGGTTGCACGCAGTGACTTCCACCGCGAAACCACCCCGAGGGACATGCGAGATTTGAGGATGTTGGAGTCTCTATACGAAGATGGCCTCAAGAGTGAAGAGAACCCATCCCAGACGAAGGGGAGCGGCGTTGCCGCAGGGTTCAATGGTCCGTTGGGTATTCAAGTCACAATGCCCCAAGGTTTCCTCGGCCAGCATATGTATAGTTAGTCCACGAGACAAGTCCCTGACCATGTAGCGAGGACCTGGTGGGAGATACACAGTCAAGCAAGATACCGGCCACGTAAACCCTGAAGGGTAGGCCTCTCTTTATCTATTCATTCGTCCATCTACTTGAAATACATGAGCTGAAAACACCTCCTTTCCAAGCAGTGCACTTTCGCTTGCGGCGAAGCGAAGAATAGGCCACCTGGACATTCAGATCACCACATACCGAGCCGTGGTGGAGAGTGGCTTTGCCAGAAATCATGGGACTGGCTAACCAACCGACGGATAGATCGACATCGAGAAAAGCCAAATACGAAACAAACACAGAGACATACTTAGCCACCCAGGCTCATATTTTTTGCTCATGTCCATGACCATAGCAGGACCAAAACTGGAATCATACACCTACTTACACGCCACGAGGCACGACTATAACGCTTGATGGACACAAATATCGACACGAATTCAACTTGATCACTCTCTGCCTGACGGCCTCCTCCATCTCCTCCTCGTCCTTGCAAGCTAGAGCTAGATCTGGAACTAGAACTAGAACCAGAACCAAAGCCAGAGTCGCATCCACCGCAGGCAAGTGGAAGCAGAAGAAGAGGAAGACGGAGAGACATCGTACCGCAGACAGCGTACCTTGATACCGCAGGCATGTACAAGGAGCCGAGCATCAATACACATGCCCCTGATCCAATTCCCATGATGCTCAGTTTTGAATACTCTACTGTTTTGATTCCTGGTTCTTGATGCTTGATACTCATTACCCAGCGTCACAATCCACAATCCTTGACGCTCAAATCTCGCTCCTTAACCCCCAACGCTCAAAGATCAGGACTCGACACTTGCCAGCGATTCTTGACGCTGGCTCGACACTCCATGCGCAACTCCCAGGATAGCTTTGCGGGCCGACTGGCCACGTCGTCTCGTCAAAGGGAATAGGTCATGTCAGATTTCCCCGAAGAGATGATAAGGGAAAACAAGGAAGAGAAAGGGAATTGGTGAAACAGAATAGAATGAGAGAAGACAAGAGAAGAGATGCATCCATCCAAATATGTATACGAGCGACCGAAAGATGGATGGGACCAGCGCAGGGACAGCAGAACAACAAGACCCGGTCTGGCCAACCTAGGATCGTTCATTCCTCATATATAGATGAGAAGATTGCAGATAGATCTCGTCCACTCACTCTATTCTACTCTCCTGTAGGCAGACAGACACACAGACATATGGCGGCAGAGCAGGTAGTCCATCCGTCCATGGACGTACGCCTTCCCCTGAGACAATACTACCAGCAATACATGCGAGTCCTTAGTTCCCTACAGTACAACGCCAATATCCTGCGGCTGCGGTACCTATCCATCCATCGAAAATCATCATTGTCCATGTTTCTCAAGGACGCTCACTCTCTTCCCCCAACACGCTACACATCATCTCCCACAGACGCTCCCAAGTGCCAACTCACAGCACTTGTCAGCACAGTGCTCTGGTACCGGGATAATTTGGCCCAAAACTCCTGTTAGCAGGGGACCTTGACAATCACTTCCTATTTTGTTGGCGATCGTCCTGTGCGAATTAATATTGCAGGACAACGGCGTGTCTCGGGTCACAAAGGTTAAATGGTCGTCATGGAGTCTCTCGTTTCACTATACCTAGGTAATCAAGACGGTCTGTCCATTGGTACCTGATAGACCACCACGTCGCTACAAGTCATGAGAGGGAGATCCACGCTCGTCGGCCGTCGGGGGCGCACCAAACAGCTGCTCCACGTCAGTGCGATCTTCAAAATTTGGCACGCTGTGCTTTTGTTGGCCCATATCGTGGCCGCCTCAGATTTCGGTCTGCAATGCGCCGGAGCAGCTATGTCATTGCACCGTTGAATTAGAGGACATTTTGTGGAGCTGTTCTGGGTTTGACGTCTTTCCGCCCCCTCGGTCGTTTTTGAAAACGGGATGGATTCACAACCCTAGAGCGCTACGGTCAAGAGTCCTGGAGGACGGGCCTGGATAGCAGCAGATGGGCCACTGGCTGCAATTTTTAGACGACCCTGCGCAGACTAGCCCGTGCAGTAGGGGTTCGCCGTTCGGCATCATGATGGAAGGGTGCTTCAACGGTCCACGGGTCGTGCGTGAGATTACATCGTTGCCAAGGAGGAGAAATCACGTAGTGATGTTCTGGTCCCCAATTGTGTCCACGGCAGGGCTCTGGAGCCTTGGGGACAGCCAACAGGGACAGTCTAGTTGACAGGAAAGGCCCCGAGCAGGATAGTTATCAACCACCAGATACGAGAGAGCGAGAGGGGGACTGCAGACCGAGGTGGGCGTCGGTGGGCAGCGGTGGACGGCTCGTCGATGGTTGGCAGCGAGGTTGCCTCGGGTGGTCTGTGCTTTCGGAACATGATGAGATGGAGGGTGAGTGGAGGCGGCTCGGAGGTCACAGGTCCAGCAATCAGAGACGCCGCACTGCGCCACTGACGCCAATGGCTCAAGCTAAATGACCCACTTGGAGGCTTGCGACCGATGTCAGTGATACCGCGGGGTTCGGGCGGTTGGGTTGGACGAGCAGGTGCTGTGCAATGCGCAACAAGCACGAGACATCCCATCCCATCTGAAGTCAGAGGTGAGACAGGTGCGAACAAGGTGATGTGGATTTGGCAGTGACGACAGCAAACTTTGGTCGATGAGGGTGTCGAGCCACAACCGCAGTCAATTGACGTCGAAACAGACTTGGGCTGCAATGATGTCATGGCCCTGTCACCAGCGCCAAAGCAGCCTGCGCAGCCTCCACGTGACACGACCGTGGCGTGGACGCAACGGCAACGAGAGGGTTTCAGCTCCAGCGACCGAAACTGGTGCGATTGTCAAGGGCAGGAATCCGCCACAGCAATCTAATGCAAAGGCAGGGTCAGTGTGCAAAACCCAAAAAAACATCCTGCTGTGTGAGATAGCGTCTTCTGCATTGGATTTCTAGCTTCCCAGTGCTGTTGGCTTGCTTCTGTCTCGCTAGCCCCAACTCATTCCGAGTAGTGTGCAGGCCTGCATATGCACACAGATGCGCCGACAAGTCCAAGAAGTCCAAGTCCGCATTGCACACCGCTTGCAGGCGCCCCCCCCCCCCCCCCC